AATCGGTACATCACTAATATATATATATATATATATATATATATATATATATATATATATATATATATATATATATATATACATATATACATATATATATATATATATATATATATATATATATATATATATGTTTATATATATATATATACATACATGCATACTTATATATACATATATGTATATATATATATATATATATATATATATATATATATAAATATATATATATATGTTCTTATATATATATATATATATATATATATATTATATATATATATATATATATATATATATATATATATATATACATACATGCATACTTATATATATACATATATGTATATATATATATATATATATATATATATATATATGTTTATATATATATATATATATATATATATATACATACATGCATACTTATATATATACATATATGTATATATATATATATATATATATATATATATATATATATATATATATATATATATATATATATATATATATATATATATATATATATATATATATATATATATATATATATATATATAGTATATTTAAACATTTTTTTACAGACTTCAATAATAAGTTTTAGTTGGATAAGCTACAATGTCAGGATCAACAATTCAGAAACAAATAACACAAGATTGGGAAAATCGCGAGTATATTGAAGTTATGACAGCATCAATTAAAAAACTTGCAGCATTTTTGAACCGTTTTGATATAGCTTGTAAGTCAAAATTAGCAACACTTGATTCAAAGTTAATATCATTAGAGCAAAAGGTTGAATACATAGAAGCAAGAGTGACAAAAGGGGAGACATTAAATTAAAATATTGAAATTACTTTTTTGTTTTTAATTGTGCCATTGAAGACATTGAGACTTTGTTTATTTAAATTTAAGCTATTGATATAAAAAGTGTAAAGTAATTTATAAATTTGTAAACTCAATATTTTTTTAAAAGTCATTTGCTTTTTAATTTCTTGCTGTTTTTAAACATGAAGTGCTTTTATACTATTTTATATAATATTGTATTATTGATTTTGTATTATACTAATTTTTATATATTATTATTTTATATATATATATTTATATAATTAATTATATATATATATATATTTAATTTTATATATATATATATATATTTAATTATATTTAATTATATTTATATATATATATATATATATATTCAATTATATATATATATATATATATATATATATATATATATATATATATATATATATATATATATATATATATATATATATATACATATATATATATATATATATATATATATATATATATATATATATATATATATATATATATATATATATATATATATATATATATATATATATATATATATATATTTAATTTTATATATATATATTTGATTTTATATATATATATTTATATATATATATGTATATATATATATATATATATATATATATATATATATATATATATATATATATATATATATATATATACTTTAGCCTTGATGGCCTTATCTAGATGGTTTGACATTGATTTGGCCAAATTTTGGGTCTCTTCTGCTGTTATATTATCCCATGCCTTCATTATAGCTTCTTTCACGTTGTCTTTGCGTCTAAATGTTTGTTTGCCAAATTTTCTGTCCACAAAATACCACCAATTTTCTATTGGATTCAAATCTGGACTTTGAGATGGCTATTTTAAAACAATGATAATATTTGTGTCAAAGCATAACTTCATTTTTTTCAATTGTTAAGAAGAATTATCTGATTGGAACCGTTGCTAGTGTAGCTGTTAGAGAACAGAAACGCAAAATCACTAGTGCAATTGATCAAAATATCATTATTGTCATCATTAATGTAAAGAAAAATAGATTTATTTTTGCAGCTAAACTAGCTTTGAAAATTCAAAAAGATTGTAACATCACAGTGACTCCTCAAACAATCAGAAATTGTATAAGAGTACAAGGATATAGAGATATAGAGTTCAAAATAAACTTTTTTTAACTTCTGAACAAATAAAAGTACTAAAAAATGCTTATATCATATTGGAATAAAATTTTGTAGTAAAATGAGTCAAAATACAATCTTGTCTCATTGGATGGAGTCCAAAAGGTGTGGCGAAAAAAAGGAGAAACTTATAAATTGAGTTGTTTGCGAGGTAGTGAAATGCATGGAGGAGGAAATGTGATGGTTTCGGGGTAGTATGAGTTTAAAAAGAGTGAAAAAAAATGACATTTATTAATGACTAAATGGATGCTTCAATGTATTGTGAAATTCTCCAAGCCAACTTGCCAACTTATATTTAAAAATTGAGAAAAGGAGGTGGTTTCATACTTCAGTAGGATAACAATCCTAAACATACCACTAAGAAAACGAAGTTATGCATTTAATGCTTGGAATGGCCATCTCAAAGTTCTGATTTGAATCCAATAGAAAATTGGTGTTATTTTTTGGACAGAAAAAATGGCAAACGAACATTTAGACGCAAAGACAAGCTATAATGAGGGCATGGGATAATATAACAGCAGAAGAAATCCAAGATTTTTACCAACTCAATGTCAAACCATCTAGATGAGGCATCAAGGCTAAAGGAGGCCTCACTCGATACTAATTTCCATGGAGTTCAATCAATTTGACATTATTTTTGAACTGTATGATTATTTTTTTTGCAGTCAATTTTATGCATCATTAGATCAATTGAGTAAAATTCAAGAGGTTTGAAAAGCACCAGTACACAAATTATTTCTTAAAACAACACTTGATAAGATATCTAAAAAAATTTTCAAATAATTTATTGGACAACTCATTTTTTTGATGCAATCTTTAAAATTATGATTTTTTTTTAAGTGGATGTTTTTTTTTTTTGTATACTGTATATATATATATATATATATATATATATATATATATATATATATATATATATATATATATATATATATATATATATATATTATATAGTTTACTGCTGGTTAGGTCAAACATTGGTTAATCTTAAACTGTTGTAAACTGAGTCCCTTGAAAACAAGAACAATTGTTTTACATTAATTAAGTTAAACATTTGTTATATAGTAGCATGCAAAAGTTTATAAGTAACAAAATACTTCAAGGTATTTGTATGGTGCTGGAAAATCCAGCCATGTGTCATTTTGTCTTTTCTATGTGGCAACATAACATTCTTGATTATCTCTAACTATACATTTTTGTCCCTTTTGGACATCTCATGCACATGATCCATTGCTACCAAAAATACAAAACTTTAATTCGTGACAAGTAAGACTTTTAACTATTCTTTTGAAGTCGGATGAAAATGATTTTTTAAATATTTCATTTGAACAAAGCAATTCTTTAATAATATTAGGGGTTGCTTGACAGAATGACAACCAAACAAATTATGATGATGCAGACAATAGTTCACTAGTTACCTTTAGTCTGCTTTAACAATGCTTTTCAAGTCTTATGGTCTTTATATTTCTTGACTTTTTTTAACATTTTCACTAATTGTTGATGCGATTGCAGCCTTAAAGAATCTTTTTTTTTCTACAGGAGGTATTATTAAATTTTTCCTTTCTTGTGATAATTCCTTTGTTTTTCTCATTATTTTTTAAATTCAATTTAAGTTAATTATTTAAGTTAAAAATGTAATATGTATAGTTTTATAAATATAATATGTATAATGATATTATCCATGTCTAGGTTATCATTATTTTTGAATTAAGTATACTATGTAGTGTACATTAGAGGAACAATTGTTAGAAAATTTATTCATTTTCGGTGAAAAATCAAAAAGTTATAAAGAAAAAACAAAAAAAAAATACGCACATTACTGTATATATACAAAAATATGTATATATATATATATATATATATTTAATTTACATATATATATATATTTAATTTACATATATATATATATATATATATATATATATATATATATATATATATATATATATATATATATATATATATATATATATATATATATATATATATATATATATATATATATATGTATATATATATATATATATTTAATTTGATTTACTAGTGCAGGTATATGTTTTTCTGTGTTGTCTTTCTGTATCTAAATTAAATGTGTCTGTGTTTCAACTAAAGAAAAAAAGAAAGTGATATTTGTTGATAATTAGATGATATTTATCTGATGTTTAGCTGAAAGTGTATTGTTCTAATGGATTGATAATTATATTTTAATGGATTGAGCGGTATTTGTTATTGTGATAGTCACCAATTTCCAACATTAAAAACAAACTTATTATCTCATCAAGATAAGATTAAAGCAATGCAAAAAAAGGTTTTTGAGAGATTTTTATCATTATGGTTTTATAGCCATAATGATAAATTGTTGAAAGCATACCATTACTATAATTTAGTTTCTTGTATAGTTCATATATATTTACTGGGGCCTAGTGAATTTAAGGGGCCTTTTTCTAAATTACTAGAGCTTTTTTTTTTTTGAATAATGTTTTAAGAAATTGATGACAGGTTGACAGACTAATGACAGGTTTTTATTTTGGGTTGTTTTTTTTTTCTCTCTCCAAAGAATCAGTCATGGCAATGTATATATGTGTGTGTGTGTGTATGTGTGTGTGTAAGTGTGTGTGTGTGTGTGTATATATATATATATATATATATATATATATATAATATATATATATATATATATATATATATATATATATATATATGTATATATATATATATATATATATTTATTTATATATATATATATATATATGTATATATATATATATAAATATATGTATATATATATATATATATATCATAAATTCTTTCATAAATTCATGGCTCGTAAACTATAGTTGTATATATATATATATATATATATATATATATATATATATATATATATATATATATATATATATATATATAAATATATATATATATATATATATATATTTGCTTGGATGTATACATAATATTTCATTTACCTGAAATAATTATTTTTCAGTAAATGGATAACATATTTATAAAAGAGGAAATAATCAAGCAACTTGTAACTTATTCTTTTAAAGAAGAAAAAACAAGACTATCATCTGATGCATTAACATTATGTACAAAACTTGTTCATTATTTTATTATGGAGGCAATAGACAGATCAAGGTTTCAATCAGAAAATGAAGAAGTTAATGTTATTGACATTGAGCAGTTTGAAAAAATTCTACCTCAGCTTCTTCTAGATTTTTAAAATATTAAATAGTTTGATTAATTTTTCCTCAGCTTGTTTTGGAATCCTTGAATAACTTGAAATTTTATGTATTTTTTTTTTAATAAAAGAATTTATAAGTAAAATGAGCAGTTTTTTATATTAAATTTTGAAAACTTACAATATCTGTTTTGTACCTAATATAAAAGTTTATAGTTTTGTTTTTAATTTCTGGAATTTTTATTGCGGACATTTAGGATTTATAGATAAGAAATGTAAAAGATGTTGAACAAAAGGTGAAAATGACTGAAGAAGTGTTGCAAGGCTTTAAGTTAGTATATTTATTTGTTTTAAGTTGGCAGTTATAAATTGCTTTAAATTAAAGTTAATGACTATAATAGTGTTTATAATGAATCAATATATGGCTATCAATATATAAAGCTATTATATTTAATGATTTAATCAATATACTTAAAGCTATTATATATAAATAAAAGGCATACTTTTTTTTATAATTTTGACAAATGTGCGGAAAATTAAAATTCAATTGTATATGTTTTTATTGGATGTTATCTTTTTTAACTTAAATATGACTTCCAATACCTTGAATATTATTCCCATTTATTTCTACAAGATTAACAATAAGCACTTTTTTTATCACAAATTTTATAACAAAACTTCATAACAAAATGGCTTTTATACAATATTTCAATATATATAAATTTCAATATAGTACAATTTTTATAAATTTCAAATATGTATAAATTTCAATATAGTACAATTTTTATAAATTTCAAATATATATAAATTTCAATATAGTACAATTTTTATCTATTTTACTTGATAATGAGGATACTTTATTTTTTTCCCTTGAAATATTGTATAAAATTATTTAAAATAAAGATTTTAATCCATAAAGAAGATTTTTATTTAGTTTTTATGGAGATGTCAGTTTAAGTTCAACAAAGAACAGCCAATCAGTTTATTTTAAATTTGTTTTAGTTGGTATCATAATACAATTAGTCGTGAAGAAGCACAAACACTTTTGAATGGATGCAAACTTGGAAGCTTTTTGGTACGAAGAAGGAAAGGTGTTTCTAATGAATATGTTTTGTCAGTTAGGTAAGTTCTCCTTAAACTTTATTTTTTTTTTGTCATTTCTGATATATTATTATCTAAAAATATTTCTCTATTCTTAGTTATGAAAATATAGTTTTTATTTTAGATGTGATAACTTTTAAAATGATGCAAATCATTTCAAAACTGTTTGTTTTTTTTAGTTCATGAAAATGCATTTGGTTACTTTTAATGAACACTGACATTTTTCTTTCAATAATGACTATATATAGAATGGCATCCACTATAAAAAACTTGAATTTGCAGCGAAGATTAATAATGTTATCAAAAGATTTAAAATTGGCCAAAATTTTTATTTATATTTTTTGATAAACATTTTTTTTTGTTTTTTTTTTAAGGATATTTGCTAAACAATTACAAGTATTAGACAGTTGGGTGTCCCTGAAAACTAAATTTCATTAAACTCTCATCCCCTAAATGTGTTCTATTTACTATCTTATAATACAAAAACACTAGGTTTTATTTTTTTTTGAATAAAAAATATTTTAAGGGGTCCCCAAGATCCTCAAATATTTTATGGGTCTCTAATATTTTCAAAAAAAAGTTTTTTAAAAATATGTCAACCTGGTACTCAAATGAAGTGAAATTATATAAAAATTTCAAAAATAATATTTATTTCAAAAAAAAATGTTGTTTTTACTACATAAAAATTTTTTTTTTTTAACAAAAAATGAAAAAAACTTATTAAAATTATCATAAAAAAACATTTTTTATGTTTTTTTATGATAATTTTAATAAGTTAAAAATTTTTCGAAATGAATATTATTTTTGAAATTTTTATATTAATTATACTAGATTAAATTTAATTATACTAGATTAAAATTAATTTTACTAGATTAAAATTAATTTTACTAGATTAAAATTAATTTTACTAGATTAAAATTAATTTTACTAGATTAAAATTAATTTTACTAGATTAAAATTAATTTTACTAGATTAAAATTAATTTTACTAGATTAAAATTAATTTTACTAGATTAAAATTAATTTTACTAGATTAAAATTAATTTTACTAAATTAAAATTAATTTTACTAGATTAAATTAAATTAGATTTAGTTATACTAGATTATAAGTTACTTTACAAGATTATTACTAACCTTCTGAGGTTATTACTAAGCTTGAGTTTCTTTCCCTAAAGTCTAAAATTGCATATTTTTCCCTTTTCTACAGCTATCATCTCTCAAACTCATTCTCACTTTAATTGTGGTTCAGCAAAGTATCAGTCTTTTACTGTATGTGTCTTTGCATGCTCTAAAAACTTTTATTTGTCTAGCTTTTTCCCTGTACTTCAACCCATTGGAATTCTATCCCATCATAATGTTTTCCTGACTCATACAACCTACAACTTATCAAGTCTTATGTCAATCGTTTGCTTGCTCTATAACTCTATTCTTTTTTTTCTAATAATTCCAAACTTAATAGTGGTTGCTTGCAGCCTTGTTGGGAGTGAATTAGATATTAAAATATTACAATGCTTTTTTGGATTATTAGAAGAATTAGAAAAAGACAAATAAGAAATTTTAGATGTAGAAAATTGAATCAGGAGTAAGATAAGAAACAATAAAGAAAATTAACCTTAGCAGATATTAACTTTGCAATCAGTTGTATGTATGGTTTCCATGAGAGGACAGTTGTGAATGATGATCAAAGAAGACATAAAGAGGAGGACTCAGTGAGAGGGATTCACTAATATAGGAATTTAAACAGTTTTGCGATAGCAGTAAATAATTGAGTTTTGTTAAAGCTAAAATTTACAAACCACTGCAAACCCTAACTTTCATCTATTGCTTCCAGTTTAGGGTGTTGAATGCTGGATCTTCTTGACTCATTGCATGAGCTTTGCTTGTGTATCTTGGGTTTTTATGACTTTTATCTCTTAATGAGGCTACAGCTCTAAAACTTAATTTTATTGTTTTGAGAGCAGCTCTCAGGTTTCTCGAACTCTGTAGTAGCTCTCAGAGAGGGTGATTCCATCAACAGCTGTAAAATATCAGAGTACTAACAGTGCCATGTTGCGCATGTATGGTGTCCATGTTCCTCGTTTTGTTGTTCATTATTGAGGCCTCATTTGGAGCCCTTTTTTATTACTTTGGGTTTATTAATAGTAATGATGCAATTGGATGAACAGTTAGATAGTGTAGTGAGTTCTATCTGTGCTTTGAGTGACTAAAGTATTAAAAACTATAAAACACAAAAAACCATCGTCATTCACTAATATTCTTGGTCTTCAAAGTAACTTTTCTTTTGTTGAGTCTTATCTCTTGCAAAGTTCATCCGACCTTGCTCTTTGTGAGACTAATTTGAGTTCAGTTGTCTCATCTTGTGATCTTAATGTTGATGGTTATCTTTCTTTAATTCATAAAGACTCCAATAGACACAATAGCTTGGCCTGGGCAATTACATTCACAAGAATTCACCCTTTTGTCAGGAAACATATTTAAAAAGATTTGAATCCACAGATTATTATTTTATGTGCTTTCAATTAGTGTTAGCCAATAGCGTTGTTGTTAGTGACTTTAATGCTCAACACATTGAATGGCTTGGTCCTAATGTCAGTAACTGCAGGTGTTAAGGCCCACAACTTTTGTCTTTTTCAATCTCTAACACAAATAGTTAACTTTTCAACTTGCTTTCCAGAGAATCTGAATCATTTTTCTTCTCTATCCGACTTATGTTTCTGATACTAGTTAGTGCTCAGTTTTTCTGCATTTACCATTAGGTTCTTCTGATCATGGTTTCTGATCTCTCTAAAACTATTCTCTTCCAGTAACTTCTAACACTAATTAGTGGTTGCTTGCAGCCTTGTTGGAAGCGATGTTAAAAAAAAAACAAACTATTATCTTGTTTTTCCTTCATAATCAGAGTTCCGTATAGAGCACTTATTACAACTACATTAAAGCTGACTGGGACTCTTTCCATATTTTGTTTCATGATGGATTTTGGGTAAAAATCTTTTGTCTTCCTGCTTTTAAATGTGCTTTTTATGTAACTTCTTAGATTCAGGTTAGCATGCAATCTTTTATTCCATCTCACTCTTCTCCATGGTTTTCTTCTCATTGTGCTGCTGCAATTTCTAATCATAACCATAACTTCCATATCTATCAGCAAAACAATTCTCCAAAAAACAGATGTCTGTTTACCATTGCTAGAAACTATTTTAAAAAGGTTTTGTCTAATTTCGAAGCCCGTTATTCTCAGGTCACAAAATCTTGTATTTCATCTCAAAAATTAGGCTCCAGAGACTTCTGGTGAATCTTTAACAGTGTCTATAATAAGGGCAAATCTTTTATTTCACCTCTCTTGCATGGTTCAGATTTTGCCACCTCACCTAACAACAAAGCTGAATTATTTGCTGAATTATTTCATCAGCCTCATCTCTTGATTCTACTAATCACATCCAACCTGATGCCCACAAACAGGTTGATCCATTGCTCGACATTCGTATCACTCCAGCTTCTGTAACTAAAGTGATTTCTTGCTAAGTTTCTTCTACAGCTTGTAGTTAGGACAACATACCTGTTATAGTCTTGGAAAAGTGTTTCTGAAGAAATTCTGAAGAGCGATCTGACTTGTCTAACTTCCATCCAATTAGTCTTCTTCCTATCAAAAGCAAGGTTTTTGAGTCTTTAATTAACAAACACTTAATCTCTCATCTTAAATCAAATAACTTACTTTCTGACCATCAATATGAATTTCTCGTTCTACTGCTGATTTGTTAACGGTAACAACTGATTGATTTTATTGTGCATTAGATAGATGTATAAAGGTTAATGTTATTGCTCTTGACATTTCTAAAGTCTTTAAAAAGTTGGTCTTCTCCATAAGCTCTCTTCTTAAAGTGTATCAGGTAACATCTTTAAGATAATTAAATCCTTACCAATCGTAGCATAAAAGTTGTCCTCAATGGACAGCATTCTTCATCATTTCAGGGGTATTTTCAGGGGTTTCTCAAGATTTTATCTTTAGCCCTATACTTCTTTCAATTTACATTAACAATTTTCCAGAAATTCTCACACCTAAGGTGGCATGGTTCACTGATGATACTACCATTTACTTTTGTCTTGATAAGAAACCAACACTCTCTGATTACTTGGATAGGGCATTTGAGCATGAAAAGGATTTCACTTGATGAGTCATTACCCTTCTATGATTAATTCTTCTGAACTTTTTTGGAAAATAAATCAAATCCATTGCAAAATAAGTTGCAAAAATACATTTTAACCTTAGTTAGACCTGCTCTTCCAGCCAACCTTCAACCATTGTCTCATCGTCATAATGTTACTTCTCTTTCTCTAGTCTATAAATACTATGATGGGTGCTGCTCTAAAGAATTAGCGTCTCTTGCATCATCTACTAAAGTTCATTCTTGCGTTACTTGTCATTCTCCTAAGTAAGTCTTATCTTTTTATAGTCCCTAAATTCTCCAAAAATTCTGTATGATGAATGTATGATCATTTTTACATGTATATACAAAGCATAAAATCTTAAATATTAGGTTTGTAGTTATTAAGTATTCTCATTTCAGAAAAAAGTTGTTTAGAGTGAGAAAGTTAAATCCAAATTAAAATTAGTATTAATGTTTGTTAATACTAATGTTAATAATGTTTTTGAAAACTAATGTTGATAATGTCCAGTGTTTTTTATAATACATCAGTTCTTTGGAATTCCCTTCATCTTGTTTTCTTAATTCAAATAATTTGTGACCTTTTAAGTTGTCTGTTAATCATTATCTCGCTTTTTCAAACTTCATTTTTTCTTTTTTAATAACTTTAACTTGAGCTGTGGTTGCTTGCAGCCTTTTTTTGAATTAAAAATTTGTTTTTTTTTAAAAGAAAAAAAAACCCAATCTGTTACAGAAGTGAGATTAGATTTATGAATGGATACCTGTTCTCAGCAATCAATAAGAAAAGACTTTTTGTCAAGACAGAAGTTTAACGTTCAGTTGGTAGCAAATAGAGCCACTTTAGATTTAAGGTTGTTAAAAAGATCATTAATGTAGATAAGAAACAAAATAGGACTAAAGGATAGAACCTAGATGTACCCCAAAAGTTACTGGAAATGAAGAGCGTTGGCCTTTGAGGATGACTTTTATAAAGCAGTTAGAAAAAAAGTTAACAAGTTTTTGAAAAAAAAACTTTTCCAGATACTTCATATGAAACCAGTTTATGGAGAAGACCAGTATAGGGCCATCCATAAAATACGTATGCAGGTATGGGAAAAGGGGGTTTCCCAAAAGCGTACGATTGCGTACAAGGGGGAAGGGGTGTTAAAGACAGTGAGTACGTACGCGGTTTGACTATTTGTTTGATTAATCCTAAACATGATTTTATTTTTTGTAAAAAAACATTGAATTTCATGTGTGTAACAAATTAGAATTAAGTTTTTTTTTCTGACTTCAGTTACAATTTTTTTTTTTAATTCTTTAAAAATAATGAGAGAGAAAAAAAAATCAAGTTAATTTTGAAAAAAAAAAAACGTTTTTCTCCAGAGTTTCCAAAATTTGGAACCACAGATGCTATTTTCTAGTAGGCAGGAAAACAAGATTCAGTCAAGCACTTATTAAATTGTTTAGAGAGAATTAATGGGAGTCCAGGAGAATACTATGACAGAAATGTCTACACTATAACAGGAATGTTATAGTGTAGACATTTCTATATGTTATAGAGAGACTATGACAGGAATGTTGTCTGGACCACAAGCCATAAAAGAGTTTATTTAAGATTTTACTTTAGCAACAGAAACTACCAATATCTAGAAACTTGTCTTAATATCTAATAACTTGCTTTATATATTTGTGTTCTGTCATGACCTCAGGCGTGGTGCTTGTTCATCCGCAAGTTACTTTGTATGCATTGTTTGTGTTAAGTAACCAGAATTTTCTTATATGTTTGTTACATAATTAGTTTTATTAACTTCAATGATTATTAATAACTTCATTGGAAACGCAAATATTTTTGTAAGTCTTTGTTTACAAATTAAATCATAAAAATTGCTATAAAAGATTACATTACGATAAAAAGTGGATATACAAAATTACATTTGCATAAAAAATACATACTTTTTAAATAAAAAATAAGAATATACTAATAAAATCTATAATTTATAATAAACTTTCAGAATTTTGACAATTTAAAAAATATATTATAAAACATTTATTTTTGTAAACAAATAATAATAGTTTAAAAGATTTATGGTTTTTCAGATGTTTCTCCAAGAATGAGCCATAATATTGATAATATATTCTTAAAACAACCTGAATCTAAGAAGTTACATAGTATTGATAATATATTCTTAAAACAATTTATGCTAGAAATCTCAAAACGTAACAAACCGTGAATAATAGTTTCTAAAACATTTCAACAGAATACTCTAGAACTTTATTTCGCTTAGTAAGTGCAGTTTTTGAACCAATAGAATTAGTTTGTTCGTTACTTTGGCGGGTTTTTAGTGTTAGCGAATATTCTTTTTATTCTTCCTCACCATGGTGTTTTGAGAACATTCAAGTTTATTATGTTTCCATGTATGTCCGTAAAACAAAAATTTTTTGTTACGTACATAAACTTAAATATTCTCAAAATGACTAAAAAACCTGGCCAGTTTTTCGAAACTAAATATAATTTCCGTGGTCAGTATTTGAGAGCGATTGCTCTCGCTTCTCGACCAAGCCTGTTGTCACTAAACAATCATAAGGGTTCACCCCTGTGATGCACATTAAAGATTTTTATACAAGGATTGTAGGAAAATTACATTAAGAATTTTTATTAAAGATGAGAAATGTATCAAAAATACTGAAGTAATTTTAAAACTTTTTTGCCTTTATTTTTGTCATACTGTATTGCACATACTGCCTTCTCTAAGTCAATCCCTCGTTTAATGTTCATACAGTCTGCTCAAAGTCAATTTCTCAGTTAATGTACATACTGCGTGCTCAAAGTCATTTCTTCAGTTAATGTACATACAGACAAAATGTTGACCTTAATTAACATTCTTTTTAAAAGAAAGAAAGAAAGAAGAGTAATAAAATTTTTTTTTTTTACCCCACTATAATAAATCCTTGCCTTTCCTTATCAACCCAAGTTCTTAACTGATCTATGTATTGAAACCTTCTGCAGTTGGCTTTTTTAGTATGTTATCATTGACCCTGCATAGCCTCCATTTATTAATATACTATTTATTGTTTTTTTAGTGAAAAGCAAAAGATTTCACATTATATTATCATGGATGTAAATGGAATGTATTTCAAGATAGGTGAACAAAGATTTGCAGATATTGCATCAATAATTGAATTTTACAAGCAACACACAATAGATACAACTATGCTTACTGATCCGGTTATTTGATAAAACTTTTTGCAACACAACATTTTGTTTAACATGTTTATTTTTGTGATTTTTTGATTTTTTAAATGTTTTTTACCTTCCCAAGGCTAAGGAGGAAACTATAGTCTATAACTATATAGAAAACTACTTTCTTTTTTTTAAATTTTTATAGTGTTTGCAACTCTCTTACAACTCTATAACTCCGAAATGCAAATCTTAACAAACAATGTTTCTCTGTGGAGAAACAAGTTAAGTGTGGTTCTACCAGGGGCGTGGTGGAGATAAAACTTAAAATCCAAATCTTTTTTTATTTTCCACAAAATCCTAATTTTGACATACTTTAGGATAAAAATGGAAATAATCAAATCAAATTTGGCAGAATTTTTTTAAATAGTTTGTATTTTTATGAGTAAAGGATCATTTTTTTTTTTAAACATTTTGTTTTTGGCCTGCTGTAATATATATAATTAATGTGTTTTATGTAGTTTTTAAAGTTATTATATATTTTTCTACTAAAGCAATTGAATAGAGGAAAATAAAGAGAGAGAGAGGAGATAAAAAAAACTATTTAAAAGCAATTAAAATAATACAAAAGAGGCTTCTTATTATATTACTTTCTACCTTGATCAACTTTCTAGCTTTAAAAGAAAGTAGTCTTCTACTACATTGTTGCATGTTTACTTTTTAAACCTTTTTCTTTGCAAGAAAGTATTCTTCCACTCTATCACTGTAACATATTATGTTTAATTTTGCTTTAAAAATTTGCTTTAAATATGTTTCTGTTGTTATTTCATTTTTATTATATGCAATAATATATTATTGTTATAAAATGTATGTTTTTGTTGTAATTTCATGTTTATTGTGTGCAGTAATAAATAATTATTATAAAATATGTTTCTGTTGTAATTTCATGTGTATTGTGTGCAGTAATAAATAATTGTTATAAAATATGTTTCTGTTGTAATTTCATGTTTATCGTGCACAGTAATAAATAATTATTATAAAATGTTTCTGTTGTAATTTTATGTGCATTGTGCAGTAATAAGTAATTGTTATAAAATATGTTTCTGTTATAATTTTATGTTTATTGTGTGCAGTAATAATTATTATAAAATATGTTTCTGTTGTAATTTCATGTTTATTTTGTGCAGTAATAAATAATTGTTATGAAATATGTTTTTGTTGTAAATTCATGTGTATTGTGTGCAGTAATAAATAATTATTATAAAATATGTTTCTGTTGTAATTTCATGTGTATTGTGCAATAATAAATAATTGTTATAAAATGTATGTTTCTGTTGTAATTTCATGTTTATTGTATGCAGTAATAATTAATTATTATAAAATAAGTTTCTGTTGTAATTTCATGTTTATTGTGCACAGTAATAAATAATTATTATAAAATGTATAAATAATTAATTATAATTAATAACAATGAATAATTATAAAATGTTTCTGTTGTAATAGCATGTAGCTTTGTGCAGTTTCACAACATTTGTAAACAAAAGTTATTATACTTTTCTTCTTTGAACAGGTTATAAAGATTGGCGAGACTGCAAAGAACCAACCGTTAAAAATGCAACTTGTTAAAGTCAGGGCAAAATTTAATTTTCCTGGAAATGTAAGTTATTTTTTTAAGCTATATTTTATATCGGTTGCTTTTAATAAGTACCTGGCATTTAGACTGGCTTTTTCAAAGATCCATCCAGAAAGAAAATCAACCATTAGTTGTTTTGTCTAACAAATTGACAAGTGATTGTTTATCCTCTTTGGTTAGCCTTTGTGTAAATTAGAGAGATACTGATGTCTGGGACTAATTATTAGTCCTGTTATTTTAAATTAAATCTATAGTTATTTGAAGTTTTTATTTATTTAATATATAAATATTCATGTTAAACCTGATATAAACATGTTGGACTTGTTTTCACATAATTTTTACTTGGTTCTTTTCTGTTTTTCGTTTTTGTTGAGAAAATACTGTTGTTAGCCCTTCCTTGAGGGAACAACATAGTTTTAAAACAAAAAATAGTGTTTATAATAGTAATAATTGTATTCAAGAATGTATTCAGACTATATTACCATTAAGTAATTTAAACATTCATGCATACATACAATTGTTAATAAAAAAAATTTGTCACATTATCTATATGATATATAGGTTGTGTTAAAGCTTTCTTATTTTTATTTTATATTTTTAATTGTTGGCTTTTTTATAATTTATGCTGCTACATGAGATATTATTATTTAACAATTTTTAAGAAATTATTTAACATCATCTAAAAAACAAGTTGTTGATAATTACTAATCAAACTGTTGGCATTATCATGGTTATTTAAATTCCAGAATCATATTGTAATTAATATTTTGCTTATATTATTGTTTATAATTTGCTTAATGGGAAAGTATAGAAAGGTTTTCAAAGAAAATAAAAAAAGTGAAGTGAAGTAATAGTGAAGCTTTTTAAAAACTTTTAATTATACTTTTTTCTCCAAAACAGTGAAGTTTGTGAGTATGCTTGATATTTGAATTTTTAATTACTTTTTTTCAAAGGAGGGGCATCAAGTGCACATATAGAATATCAAAATACAAAGTTAGTGATTACTACAGTTAAACTACAGTTATTACAGTTACATTGCACATTGGTATGCTTGTTTGTAGTAGAGAAAACATAAACTAAATGATACAATATTGCTCTTTGTGTCCTGAGAGTGCTTTATAAAAACAAGTGCTTTTCATAAAGATAAAAAATAACAAAAAACATTTTTATTTGTGTTTATAAAGGAAAAAAAGCACACACTGAAACTTTTTAGTCCCTGTGTATTAAGCTAACTAATAAATAAATTTTTAATTTTAAATAAAGAGGGTTGGTGAAGTAACTATTGAAATGTATAATAAATATATAAAAATTATAAATGTATAAAAATGATGGTTTTAATAAAAGATTTTCTATGTTTGAACTATTTAAAGATGATCAAGATAAAAAGTTTAAAGAATTAGAAAATAAATTAAAGTTATTAAAAATTAATAATATAGCATTATAAGCAAAAGTATCAGATCTTGAGACAGCTTAACCATCACTTGAAAATTCAACATCAACTTTAGTAAAGTCTTAGAGTAAGTTGCTACAAATAAAACAAAAATCAAATATGCCTAATTTGAATGTGAACAAATTTTTTAATGAAGAATTAAGTGAAATGAAAAGTCAAGAATAAAATGTGACAGAATTGTCTAAAAAAGAAAATATTTTCGATCAACAAAAAATCAAGATAACATTAATGAAATATTCCACAAAATTTGAATTGAAAAATCAAAAGTTGTTAAAGTTCATAAAATTAGATCAAAAAATGAGAAAAATAACAACAGTGCTTGTGTTATAAAATTATAAAATAAACAAACAGTTCAAAAATGTAATTATTAATCTTGATTTAACCACAACACAACGTGATCTTATCAAAAAACATTTAGTTCAAAGAAATGAATTGAACGATCAATTAAAAAAAGGTTTTAGTGATTATAAATATGGGATTTGAGGCAATAAAGTTCTTAGAGTTTCAATTATGCATATACAATAATCAATTCAAGCACAGTGATTACCAGGCATAAGCGTAATGCTTTGTCAATCAGAGATGGCATTGAAATGGTTACAGAACCTTTATATGCTTTTGGTTTATAGTAAAAAATATGGTAACTATATAAAAGATAAACAATACATTACTAGCCAGAGCACTACTTCAGAGCACTACATGCAACATACAAACCAGACATTTTTTTTGTATTGTTTCTGAGACTAAGTTTAAACAAACGTCAGTTGTAAATATAATAAGCTACCATTTATATAGGTGTGATAGACATAATTAAAAGGGGCGGTGGAGTTTGTATTTATGATAAAAACTAAATTGATATTTCTGAAGTTAATATTGACCAACTCTACAAAAATTGAACTAGAAAAATTGTTATTTGGATGCATTTATAGATCTGATGAAACCACTGATGATAATAAAAATCTAATAAGTTTTCAAATTGTTTAGACAATTGCTTTTTCAAACAAATAATTCTAGAACTAAGTTTTAAAAAATCTACAAATGAAATGACTAATATTCTGGATTTAATAATTGTTGATGCTGACCACAGAGTTTCAGACATAATTCATTTACCTCCACTTGGAGTGAACACAACCACCACCATTTACCATCACTTAGAGTGAACACACCATCTGTTAAGTTTTAATTTCAGTTTAGCAAACAATTATTTCAAATCCAATTTTAAGTAATAGCCAGTTAAATTATATGAGAGGTTTGAAAATCTATACATGCCAAGTATTGATTGGAATATATCTATTGCAGAAAAACCAATGATCTAATGAAAAACATAACGATTGCTATAAAATCTTTTTGGGTCACTATCTTTAGCTTGTAAGTCATGCCAAAAGTTCATAGACAAAAAAATCCCTGGTTAAACTGTGAGTTGAAGCAATAAAAAGCAAAAAATGTATTTATGAAAGAAGAAGCTTAACTTATATAGTAATGACTTGAAGAGTGATGATATGAAAAATCTTGTTATTAAAAAATCAAATATGAAATTAAAAGTTATAAAAAGTCAATTGCAGATAAAGCAAAAAGTGATCAAAAAGAATTGTATAAATATATAAACAATAAATCAACAATTAAATCACATAAAAGCAGCTAAAAATAAAGATGGTACATTTCCCATTGATAAAATACAAATTGAATGGCACCTTGAATGGTTATTTTAATTCTGTTTATGTCAAACTATGTTAGAAGAAATATATGTTTCTGAAGACCTAGTAAAAAACTATATACTATAAATAGACACTAAAAAATAAAAGTCCTGACTGTTTTCATTCATACATATTGCAGCTCTCTGCAAACAGTATGAATTTACCATTATCTTTTTTATAAGAAGTGAAATGAAAAGAAGTTTATCCTCTTTTCTAAAAAGGAAGCAAACCTTTTTTCTCAAAAGGAAGCTTTTTAATTATTGTCCAATATCTTTAACTTTAATCCCCTGCAAAATCTTAAGAGGTCCCTTTAGAACGAATTACGGCTGAAGAATTAATCAATTATTTAAATTTCAATAAACTTTTAAGCACAAAATTAGTTTTGCAAAAGTGCATTGTGTTATAATATAAACGTTACATAAGCACTAATTAACTTACAATTAAACATAAAACACAATTAGTATAAAAATAGTATTGTTACGTTAGAAAAAGAAGTTAACTATGTTAAATTAACCACTTTAATGATCACAAAAAAAAAATGACAGAAAAATTCAAGATAAAAATTTCTTACTTGATAAAAATTATTATTAAAATTTGTTTACTTATTTAAATTTAAATTAATAAATGTTGTATAATGAAATTATTGTTAGTAGGGGTAGGGGTGTTATCTAGAGTGGAGGTGGGGGTGAGCTATCTAGAGTGGGGGTATGGGTAAGCTGTTCTTAAATGTTTTGGAATGTATCATTTGTATTAAAACATTTTTATCATCAAGCGAATACCCAGAGTTATATGTTAGTAATTAGTTACAAATATTTTAATTGACAGCTTATCTCAATAATAATTTAAAATGATGACAAAAAATAAGTACATATAAGACATTACATATCATCTTAAAATAAAAACTTGCTGATAATGATCTACAGTTTTTTACATCTATGCAGCTCTTGGTAAGATTTTTTTAAATTATTTAAGGAAAAATGTTTCTTTACTTAAGATAAGTTGCCTAGCCCTGATCTAAAGTAAATGGTTTAAGAAAAGACAAAACTTTAACCAGACACTTTCAGCCGTCACAATTTCACTAACAGAACTAAAATTGTTTCTGAACAATTAGATTTTTTTTTTTTTTAACTTTTTAAATTTGTTTTTAACTTTCAAACTGATGAGATGCCTATTTTCTCTTTCTAAATGATGAAAATGTTTGTTTATGAATATGAGCTTTGTTGTGTCTTATATGTTTGATAAATAACAATAATGCATTAATCTGACTACCTGCAGAGTATGTTGAAAATAAAGACTTTAAAGTTAAATTCATTTATCCATGTTACCAAAAAAGGACAAAAATTAATTGAGGTAAGGAATTTCTTAAACCAGGAAATAAAAACTAAAACTAAATTTTTTTTGTAAATTAAAAAAAAAGAAAAAACTAATTCACTCCAAACAATTATGCAAGTAACTACTGTTAAGTTGGGAGTTACTAGAAAACAAAAAATAGTGTTAAAGAGCAAGGAAACAGTTGACAGAACACTTGAAAAGTTGTAGGTTTTATGAGTTTGGAAAACATGATGATTAGAGAGAGTTTCGAAGATGATATAAAATGATAGATGAGTAAAAGTTTATAGAGCAGAAGGTAAGAAGGTACAGATACAATTAAAGGATTAACGAAGAGTTAGATAAGAATAAGGTTTCTTGATGGAAACTCGAGATAATAGCTTTTTTGAGCAGCAACCATGATAATATTTGTAGAAAAAAGAAAGAGATGCAACCTTGCGACGATTGAAGGTGGCTCAAGTTTAGCAAAAAGAGCAGAACCAAATGTAATTTAATAAATAAATCTCTACAATGCACACCAAAAGTACAAACAGGGACACCATCCATGCACAACATGGCATTGTTAGTACTCTGATATTTTACAGCTGTTGATGGAATCAGTCTCTCTGAGAGCTACCACAGAGTTTGGGAAACCTTACCACCAGTCAGCCTCAGAACCATAAAACTTAGTTTTAGAGCTGCACCTTCATTAGGAGATAATATAATGAGTTGCCTAGTTGTAACAGAGACATAAGCAAAGCCCTTGCAATGAGTCAAGAAGACCCAGCATGTAGTGTATTATGAATGCATCTAAGCCAGCCTAATAAATGAATAAGGAATGTGAAATTGATCAACAGATAGAATATGTTTACCCCTTAAATCAAGTTAGTTAAAATGATATATATATATATCTTATATATATTTGTCAATTCTGATTGATTGTTTTATTGTTTGTTCCAAGTTAACAGCCAGACCGTTGGTCAGAGTTGTTCCTCGTCCCTGGAGGTGGGGGTGTAGATTACCTCGGGTTTGACCTCAGGGTTGCTGGAGGTCAGAATGGTCTGAATGACGGGTTGAGCGTTTCCTATGATATGAATTTTGTTGATTTCAATTGTGTTCCATGGATTGCTGTTGCCTGTTTTGTTGTTTTCCAGATTTTTCTGGAATGTTTAACGCTTCCGGAATGTGCCATAGTACACAGTGTAGCTGTTCTATCACCTTCCAGAACATTCAGGGGCTTTCTGGAGTGTTCCGTGGTGCTCTTTGGCTCTGTCTTGAGCCTTCCATGGGTATGTAGGTGGATCACCAGAGATCGCACATAGCTCAGTTTTTACCGGGTTGCTGAAGTGAACACATCATTTGCAGGGTTGCAGTTCTGGGAGTCAGTTTGCTATTTGCATGTTGCTGCGGGGAACGGGTGGGGAAATATTGTTTTTTGGTGGTAATTAATTCATTTTTGTTTCTTTTATTTTGTGGTGGTCAACTTGGTACAAGGGCATTGTTCTTTTCAAATGAGTATTGTGTATGAATATATATATATATATAAGATGTGTGTACGGTGTATATAAAATCCCTGGATGGAAGAACTTTTAGTGTTGTGTACTAAGAGGCTCTGCGGCGGTTTTTTTATAGTACCCAGGATTGAGAGTTTTTTGGTCAAGTAATTGATTTTTGGAGGGCGAGTTTTCTTTGTACACCAGTAACTTTGATTTGTTTTGCCAGTGCCCAGCGACGCGGACACCTCTGCTTGTATATATATATATATATATATATATATATATATATATATATATATATATATATATATATATATATATATATATATATATATATATATATATATATATCAGTCTTTGGAACTAGAGGTTGACATTAAAAAAAAATATGTAAAGGGTTACCATAAAACATCAAATACTTCTAGGTCAAAGTTTGGTCGGCATTGCCGAATGCCAATCCAAATTCTGAGGGCTGATATATATATATATATATAAATATATATATATATATATATATATATATATATATATATATATATATATATATATAATACATTCTCATGTTACTCTTCATTCAATTAAGTCTTATCCTTCTACTATGACTGTTCCTAAGTGCTTTAAAAATTCTTATTCATTTAGTTTATTTCCCTGAACATCAGTTCTTTAGAATTTCCTCCCTTTGTTTTCCTGATTCATATAATTTGCAATCTTTTGAGTCATCTGTGAACTTGTTATCTTGCTTTATAAATTTCATATTTTCTTTTCCAGTAACTTCCAATTCTAATAGTGGTTGCTTGCAGTCTTGTTGGAAGTGAAGATATTATTAATAATAAATAAAAAAATTATAATAAAAGTTCTTCTAAATCTTGTTGGGTCTCGAAAGTAGCAAAATTTTATAACAATTTTTATCATATCAATAATGTTTTTATATCATTAATATTTTTATCATATCAAATGTTTTCATATCATTAATGTTTTTATCATATCATTAATGTTTTTATCATATCATTAAAACATAATATAAATAAACTTTGTTACAAAACTAGAGTTGAAAAAATATTTGTTTAGAGTTGAAAAAATATTTTCCGTTTTCATAAACTTTTTATTGCAATAAACTTATATACTTTTATAAAAATAATTTCTTCGTTTCAAAAATATGCGTTTTATCATCAAAGTATTTGGGTATTCTTTAAAAATTCCACTAAAAGTATAAAGTAATATAGACCCACAAGCACAAAAAGTGCAATAAAACAGTCAAGTTGTTCATATTACTTTTACCTATATTACTTTTGTGGAACAACAAAAAGCAGATGTTTTATGTTTTTTTTGTCCTTCCTTTGAGCCTTTTCCTTTGATCCTTTGTCTTTTGAGTTTGTGTATATCAATTCTAGCTTTTACATCTCTCAACTACAAGGTAAAATATTCACAAAACAAAGAATAAAATCTTATTTAGATTAGGAAAATTAATTATGTATTATTTTTGTAGAGTGTTTTAATGAAGCAACGGTTTTTTTTATGTGTAACGATTGCATATAAAATTAAAAAAAAAAATAGGAAGAATTTTATGTGTATTTAAAACTCTTATAAATGCATATGATAATTTATCTAAAATTACTAGCTGTGTTAGATTATAATAATTTATCTAAAATTTTAGATAAATTATTATAATTTATCTAAAATTACTAGCTGTGTTAGATTATAATAATTTATCTAAAATTACTAGCTGTGTTAGATTATAATAATTTATCTAAAATTAGAATTAGACATTAGAAAACACATTTGATCAGAGTATTCAGTAAAATAGGAATAAAATAATATACTTGATATGATACTTGTTATTTGTACTTGAATCATCAAAAGTGCCCAATAGGGGTGTCCAAAAAACAACTTTTTTGAGAAAAACCTGCTGACACCCCCTAAATGTGTTTTATCTAATGCAAAAACACTAGGTTTAAAATTTTTTTGAACAAAAATTATTTTTAGGGGTAGCTCAAGGCCCTCAAAAATTTGACGGGTCCCTAATATTTTGAAAAAAAAACTTTTTCTAAAGTATGTCAACCTGGTACTCAAAATAAGCAAAATTATATAAAAAATTTAAAAATGATAATAATTTTTTATAAAAATAATTTTTTTAGGTATAAATGCATAAAAACTATTGTTTTTAAGCTGAAAATAAAAAAAGTCAATATTTTCAGGTTTTTTGAGAATAATTTTTTTTAAACATGTTTTTTATGTAAAATGATTATTATTTTTGAAGTTTTTATACAATATCGCTTCTTTTGAGTACCAGGTTGACATACTTTAGAAAAAGTTTTTTTTTCAAAATATTAGGGACCCGTCAAATTTTTGAGGGCCTTGAGCTACCCCTAAAAATAATTTTTGTTCAAAAAAATTTTAAACCTAGTGTTTTTGCATTAGATAAAACACATTTAGGGGGTGTCAGCAGGTTTTTCTCAAAAAAGTTGTTTTATGGACACCCCTAGTGCCCAAGCAAGGTTGTGGCAAGTGCAACTTAAGTCTTAAAGCAAGTCTCAGCAAGGGCTTATTTACAAATAGTGGCAAAATTTATGACTTCAAAATCATTTGTTTTTAATTTTTATTGCTAACGATATTTTTAAATAGTTCAAATTTAGCAAAATGTTTCTTTACTTTTTGTCTTCCATTAATCAATAGCGTAGTTAAATTGAGAAAAAATTGTAAAATACTGTAAATTGTCTTTCATAGATATGAATAGTCTTTCATAGATTAGAATAGACTTTTAAGTCTTTTATACATCTTAAACCTTATATAGATTTTTACAATTTTCTTTAACTTGTAGGCCAATTTAATAGACATTGAAAAATGTCCCTCCCCTTTAGGGATGGATTTGCAAATTATGTTTAGCCTCAAACAAAGCATGTTACAGCACTGAATGCCAATATACTAAGCAAATAACAGGATAATACAATTTTAGTAAACTTTGAAAACAAACTATGGTATTTGCTGCATATAGTTACAATAAAAAAACTCAATAAAATACTAAAAAAAAATTTTTTAAAGAGAGCTTCCTAAAATTTCTATAATCTGCTTAACAATATTTTACCATAAAATGGTTCATAACAACTGCCTAAATAAGACATAAAATTTTACCTATTAATTATAAAATGACTATTTTTGAAAATTTCCTGAATTGAAAATTTCCGGGAAATTTTCAATTCAGGAAATTTTCAAATCCCTATGTAATACTATTAAAGCTATATATATATATATATATATATATATATATATATATATATATATATATATATATATATATATATATATATATATATATATATATATATATATATATATATATATATATATATGTATATATATGTATATATATATATATATATATATAGCTTTAATAGTATTACATAGAAATGAAATGTGTGTGTGTGTATATATATATATATATATATATATATATATATATATATATATATATATATATATATATATATATATATATATATATATATGTATATATATATATGTGTGTGTGTGTGTGTGTATATATAAATATATATATATATATATATATATACATGTATACATATATATATATATATATATATATATATATATATATATATATATATATATATATATATATATATATATATATATATATATATATATATATATATATATATATATATATATATATATATATATATATATATATATATATATATATATATATATTGTACATTACATCTTAGGATCCAGAAGACTTGCCATTTCATAAAGGAGATATATTAACAATCATTCGTCGTGAAGAAGATAAGTGGTGGTTAGCTCGTGATAATGCTGGACGTGAGGGAATGATCCCTGTTCCTTATATAGAATTAGTAAATATATAGAATTTTAAGTTTTTGTTCTAAAGTTAGCTTTTTTTAAGTGTTTTTTTTTTTCTCTGTTTTTTCTTCTTTTTTTTTAAGTGTTTATTTTTAAGCATTTTTTCAAGCTTATTATTAAGCTGTTTGTTTGTTTTTTATTTAATATTTTTAATCCCGGTTTATTGTGTTAATTTTTTTGGTTAAAACTGTTTAGATAAAGCCTGCTTCAGCTGTTGAGCGGTCCGTTAAAAATGATTCACATTCACCTGTCAAACCACAGAATTATGCCCAACCAAAACAATATACAACAGATCAAAAGGTTTCACGAGTAAGAGTTTCATATGTTAATTAATTTTATGTGTAAATGCATAAATTTATATGATAAATTACATGCTAGTTAAGTTTCTTTTTTCAACTTTTTTCCCTTTTTTACCCAGCCTTTCTTTTATCTTATACATAATTTTTTTTTTTTAATTTTGCTATTGCAATAAAGAAATAGTTGGAATCTTTTATTCTGTTTTTGATAAAATAAGAGATAAATTTATATTAATAAACGTTTAATATATATGAGCGAGATATGTAATATGAGAAGCATGTAAACTAAAATGGTAGATTTATGTGAGAAATGAAGATAATGGTATCAATATGTTTCTAAAAATCAAAGGGAGTGAAATATAAATGCATTATGCTTATCTAAATGCGCTCTAGTAAACATCTAGTAGACTAGCTCAAACACAAACCCTCAGTTTTTTATGTACTGAATTATTAACGTTAATAAAATAACCTCTCATATGGCTATTTTATTAATGTTAATAAAAATAGTAATAATAATAATAAAAATGATAATAATAATAATAAAAATAATAATAGTAATAAAAAATCAATCATGATGTTTTCCCTATTATATATTACCACATAGATGTTACCACAGTAAAATTTATCTTGTCTAACCTTGAGAATTTGGATATTTTACCATTTACAATATCATTTTACCCCTGGAACTTTTTCTAACTTGAATATTGTTTTACAATGTGAATGATATTTAATTGATGTTGTAGGTTGGCATTAAAATTGCCTACCCAAACCAAATCCCTCAGTTGATGTAACTACACTCCTTGCATGTTCTACCTATTTAAATAAGTTAATATAAGTACGCTCCTCACATGTTCTACTTATTTAATATTTAAATCAGTCCATGTATGTACAATAGATAAAACAAAAAAACTTGAAAAAATAAAAACAAAAAAAAATTGAAAAAATAAAAACAAAAAAAATGACACAAAAAGACTAAAAAATAAAACAAAATGATAAAAAAATGAAGCAGAATAGACGGAATAAAGGAAAAAAAAAATAGAATTGTGGTTTTTAAAAAATGATTAAACTTTATTATATTAAATGTGATTGCTATGAAAATCATTAAATTATTAAAATTGATATCAGCAATAATAATAATAATAATAATAATAATAATAATAATAATAATAATCAGGGTTTTTTTTTTTATTTTGTTTATTCACCTCCCCATGGCCGAGAAGGCCACTACAGACGAAGAGGCTACTTAATTGTAGTTATAACCCTCTCTCAGCTCTATAACTCTGAAACACGAACCTTGATGAACAAGGCCGCTACGTAGAGAAACAAGTTGAGTGCGGTACTACCAGGGATGTGGTGGGGATCAAATTTGGAACCTTTCACTTATGAAGCGAGCGCTAAATTTTTTCTCAATTGCACAGTTTTTTGAGTTGAATTTTTTAATTGTGGTTCATAACTCAGGTGTGAAAGGTTTCTTGTTCCAGTTGCTCTTCTTTGAACTTTTTGAAGAGCTGATATATCATATTTCTTTGTTGGATTCCAGATTGCTGCTACATTTTTGAGAATAGATTGAACAAAGGCATTGTAGAATATTTTAGCATTTGAGTTAATGTAGAGTTCGAATATGTGTTTAACTAAGGCTAGCATTTTATTATTGCAATATTGAATATGATGGCTGTATTTTTCATCTGTTGAAGTCATAATATTTTTTTCCTAATACAGAGCTTTTTATTTGAATTAGTTTGTTGTTTAATTTTATTTATTGTTCTTGCCAAAATGCGTTGTCTTGCATTTTCTTATTTATATTTTCACCTGCCATATATGGCAGCATTTAGTTACTTTATATATATATATATATATATATATATATATATATATATATATATATATATATATATATATATATATACATAAACAAATTAACATGCTAGTGTAATGATAAGAGATTGGCATCGACTATTTAGCAAATACATCAGTATCCCTTATAGTAACCATTGGCCGATGCCAATTGTTTTGAAAAATCATTTTTTTATATTTTTGTGCTTCTATATTGTATACAAAAATTTAATTATTCCACAAACTAAATGTGGAGTAGTCAACATTGGTCTAAGATTCTTTTTAGTGATGAATTTAAGTTTATGTAGTTCTGATTAGATAAAATCAAGTTTATTTGATGTCCAGTAGGTTCAAAATATGATCCTAAATCTCAACTGCTTACTGTAAAACATGGAGGTAAACATGGTAAACATAAAATCTCAACTGCTTACCATAAACAACTCTTGGAATTAGAAAAATTGGGGTTGGTAATTTTTTGCCGACCTTCAACTATTAGTGGTCGGCAAAAAAAATTTGACACCAAGGTTTTACTATAAAACTTAAAAGCTAGATCAGCAATTTTTGCTGACCTCAAACAACTTTAGGTTGAATGCCGACCTAAATACCCTAATTCTGAGGGCTACATTAAACATTGAGGTAAACATTGTAAACATAAAATCTCAACTGCTTACCGTAAAACATGGATAAAACATGTAATGTATTACTTTTGGGATGTTTTAGTTGGATGGTGTTGATCCACTGCATAGATATACTGGAACCATTGATCAAGTAATATACAATAACGTATGTATGAGCATTGTGTTATCTCATGTGAAGGATAAAATGACTAGTCAATGTATATACCATCAGGATAACAATCCTAAACACACAGCCAAATCAGTTTAGGAATTCTTAAAAAATATTAAAGTTTGTGTTTTGAAATTGATTTTTCTATCAAATGAGGTATTTGAAATGAAATGCAATTGATTATTTATGGGAACATTTTAACCAATAAATATTAGCGATCAAGCTACAAATCATGCTAATTTGTAAAATATGGAGAAGGTATTTTAATGGTTTGGAGATGTTTTAGCCGAGATGGAGTTAGTCAGCTCCATAGAATAACTGAGACTATAAATCAAGAAAAGTATAAAGATATATGTAAGACTATTATATTGCCTTATGCAATGGAGAAAATGCCTCGAGGATAGATATACGAACAGGATAACGATCCTAAACATGCAGCCAAATCAGTTTTAGAGTTTTTTAAAAGGAATAATTAATGTTTTGAAGTGGCCATTCTAATCACATGACTTAAATCCTATTGAACATCTATGGGAACATGTTGACCGTCAAATAAAAGGAATCAAGTCTACAAATCATGCTGATTTATTTAATAAAATCAAAGATATATGGCTCAATTTCCATTGACATTTGCATTCATTTAGTTGACTCTATGCCTCATAGATGCCTAACCATTGTTGATTGTATAGGATATCCTACAAAATAATAATGTGATTTTGCTTTTATATAAATTTGTGATCAAGTATTGTTAAAAAATTTGTTCTATTTAAAAAAAAATAATCACGCTTTATTCCGCAAATTTTTGAACTTATCAAAAATCGTTGATTTGTATCCCAATTTAAAAAAATAATCATTATTTGTTCAAAACGTAATTGTAAACTTGAAAACCTTTTAATTGGTGTATAATATGTTGACTTTAGTGAAGTATGTGCTGATATATTAGTAAAATTCCATATTTTTTTTGCCTGTCCACAAACCTTTGGACGCTACTGTATATATATAAATATATATATATATATATATATATATATATATATATATATATATATATATATATATATATATATATATATATATATATATATATATATATATATTTTAATTAATAGATTGCCTCCCCAAACAAAAACCCTCAGTTGATTTAGTAGCACTCCTCGCATGTTTTACCTAATTGTTAGTTGATCTAGTAGTACTCTTTGCATGTTTTACATATTTTTCAGTGGATGTATGTAAACAGTAAAAAAACAAAATTAAAATGTTCAGAATGTTTTTGTTTTTATTGTAAAAATAAAAAACATTTTAGTCTAAAAAGGTACGTTTTTGTGGTTATTATTTTATGGTTTTAACATAAAATGTATTTAATTTTAAACACAAAGAATCATTTAGAGCCATTTTTTTAACCACAAATGGTAAATTTCGGTGTGAAACTTTATATCCAGAAAAAATTTACAAAAAACGTCACTTGATGGAGAAATAAATTTGATTCATCAGCTTGTTTCTCGGTGCAGCGGTTTGTTAAGGTTTGTGTCAGCGGCCAGCGGTTTGTTAAGGTTTGTGTCTCAGAGTTATAGAGTTGAGAGAGGGTTATAACCACAATTAATTAGCCTCCTCATCTGTAATGGTCTTCTTGGGCTTGGGGAGGTGAATTATCCCACCCTATTTTTAGTTTTATTATTATACTACCTTAAAATTGTTTTTTTATCATATATCTTTGTTAATCTTTTTTTATCATATATTTTTATTAATCTTTTTTTATCATATATCTTGTCGTATAATTATTGTAGTTTTTTTTATCATATATCTTGTATAATTGTTGTAGTTTTTTTATCATGTATCTTTATTAATCTTTATATAGATACCTAACAGCCATACTGGACCATTAATTGCAGTTGCAATCAAAGATAGAGAGCCAAATTTTTATGATGAAACGTTGTTGGGTTTCAAAGTAGGTGTTTTTTTTTGTATAAAAGATTGATAGTTCCATTTAACATAACAAAAAAAACAATACATTGAGTAATTGAGTTTTTTTGGTTTGTATAATAGTTTATTTTAATTTAGCTGATTTTCGAGTTACTACATTTTCGGGAAGGTCTTTTTAGTTTTCACCTGGCTGCACTATAACATATCTTTTGAATCAATAATTGTTTTTTAGAATATCCTCAATATGCTTGTGATTATAAGTATTTGGACTAACTCATAACTAATTATCTTTTCATTGTTATAAATCATTATTTTCATAATTCGTTATGATTTGTTTGGTATTTAGTTCATATATTTATAATGATCCAAATTAGTCCAATAAATTAGTCCAATAAATTATTTTAATGTAATCATTTCTCACAAATAATCTTGACGTAATAATAGTGAAAGTTTGATTCTCTTGCGATATTCTAAGTTTGCTGACCGTTTCTGTTTAAATTCTTACACTTGTAAATTGATTGGGTCTTAAAACTTTTAAGGTCTTAAGAGGTTGACCTTACGATGTTGGCCTTAAGGGGTTTTGATTTTGCCTTTAACTTCTGAATTTCAAGGAAGTTACAAATTTTGGAGTTTCAAGGAAGTTACAAATTTTGGAGTTAACAAGGTGACTACCTTGTGTTTTACTTTGGAAGTTAAAATAAAAAATTTTTTAACAATGTTATACTTTGTCTAAATTAGAAAATTAAGTTGACTAAAGAATGCGCTCACTTCGGGTTTGTCAAACTTGAAAACTTTTGTCTTATCGATCGATTATTATCAACTAATCGATTATTATCAACTAAAAAAATAACCTTTTTGCTTTTATATAAAAGTTTGTTAATTTACTTATTTTTAGTTATTCTTCTTCTATATAGTAAGTTAATTTAGTTTTAATAATCTTATATTATATAGCTTTCATTTTAATAATTATTTATCATTTTTTTTATTATTATTTTTTTGTTAAGTTAAAGTCTTATATTATAGAAAGGAGATAAAATTGAAGTATTGAAGACAAGCGAAGACGGTTCTTGGGAGGGAAAAAATCTATCAAACTTAAAAGTTGGCTTTTTTCCGTTCAATCATGTTCGTTTACTTGTTGATCAATAGCTGTGTTGTTTTTTTAGTTTTATATCCACTTTTGGTAAAGTTTTTGTAACCATTTTGGTAAATTTTTTAAAGATTTTTTTTATTAAATAGTCCCTAGTCAACTTTCTATTTATTATCACACACTAACAAAACAGATATACTACTATCCATTAGGTATTTTTAATACAAATTTTTTTTTTTTTTTACAGTTTTAAAAATTATTTTCATGACAGAATATTTTTTATTGTTAAATTATTTTGTTTTTTTTATTAGTTAAAGTTTAAGTTGTTATTTTTATTGACGGTGTTTGTGTAAATAGGTATTGTTCAATATGGTAATATTGAATGACTTATATCAATCAAACTTGTATATAAAAAAATTGCAGTTTATTTTTATAAAAATACCTTATATCGCTTAGCTCGTTAAAGCATTTTTATTCTGCAATAAAACCTGATTTAACACTTTAATCCAAATTTTATGTCTTCGTCATGGTTATATATATGGGTTCATAACTGTTGACAAAAATTTGGCACAAAGTAAACGCATTCACCCTGATGACAATAATTTGGCACAAAATAAACGCAAGTAGTAAAAAAATGTTTAACGAACGAAACTCCAGTATTAGAAGTATTTTTTATTTGTATTTTTAAATGTGAAATACAACCCATCATAAATGACAGATTCGCGATTTTTGAATTCGGATTAGGAATTTGTTTTTACTTTAAATAACAAATACTTGTTTTATTATTATTTTTTTAAATGTTTTTGCGATGTAGAAATGATCAAACTTAAATTTCTTCTTGTTGAAGCTCCAAACCGGTTCAATAAATATTTCAGACGATTAAAGTTTTTACCAGTCGTAAAATGCGTTTTTCCGCCCTATCCATGCCACTATGCGTCGCTCTAATACAAAATGAGGAAATAGGCTTATAAATAAGGAAGCATTCAACATATTAAACTGATTTTTTCACAAAACATTGAATTTTTGCTTATATTTCTATATTTAAAAGAAAAATACCCGGGGTTTTTTTTTAAAAAAGTTTACGGTTCATCCGGACTAATTTCTGACTATTCCGAAAAATTACATATGTCCGGATAATTTTAATTCAAAAAACAGTAGACACCAATAATTTATAAAATTTTACAAACTTTTTAAAAAATTTTAAAACAATATCATTAAATATAAACTTATTAAAACTATCAACAAATCTGCTATCGTCTAATTCTTTGTTCTTGAGTTTCTTACAAAGTTTCTCAACGTTCTAATAGATGTTTTTTAATAACTAGTGGCTATAAAAAAAGTTGTTTTTTTAAAAATTCAACGCAGTATAGCTTATTAGTATAACACTTTAGTTCATGATATAGATCTTTCTAGATTAGTTGATTACTAGTTAAAAATTATAAAATTATTTCTTAAATTTATTTATTTTTAAAGAAAAAACAAAACTTTGAATTATTATTTTAAACTATATTGAGATTTCTTTCCCAAAAAAAAAAATAGTCTAAACTACTAACAATAGCATAACATTAAAAAAAACACTCAACAGAGGTACATATCAAAAGACACAAACAAATAATTAACTGTATCCCTTGTGTTTTATGCCAAAAGAGTTAGACGTGCATGACTAACTCGTCCAGCTTTGTTTTTTTTTTGTTTCTGACTTCAATAGCAATCTCAGACAGATAATACTTATAATATAGATTTTACAGATTGTGACAAAGGTATGGTTTTTGTAAAATGTTATTAGTAATGATTGCAAATAGATATTCAGATTTCTGATTGAAAATTTATATCTACTCTTGTAGTCGTGGTGTCCATACTAATGAGTCTCAAAACAACTTACTTATTCAGATTTAGGTGGTCTTTGTGGTACACTAAAAATAATAAAAATATACATTAAAGCATATACAACACCAATAATGTCAAACTTAATAGTGTTTTTGTGAAACATAGTTAAAACAATTTGTGTGTGTGTGTGTGTGTGTGTGTGTGTGTATATATATATATATATATATATATATATATATGTATATATATATATATATATATATATATATATATATATATATATATATATATATATATATATATATATATTGAAAACTGAGGATATATATACATATATCCTCAGTTTTTAAGTGAAATACAATAAGTATTATTTTGCATTATTTTGAGATAATGCAAAAGCATTATTTTGAGATAATGAACAAATAAGTTTTTGTATCATAGTTAAAGTAATAAGTTTTTGTGTAGTAACTGAAATAAAAAATCTTAATAACTGATTAACAATTGATTTATTAAATTTGTATGGTGTATCAAATGATTGCATTTCCCTAGTATATCGACGATATATATATATATATATATATATATATATATATATATATATATATATATATATATATATATATATATATATATATATATATATATAATATATTTAGATATATAATTGTTTACTTATTTTAAAATTATTTAATTATTTAGTTTTAAAATGAAAAAAACATTCTTAATTTATGGGACATGTTTTTCAAATTTTGTGAAATACTTTTTTGTGATCACTATAACAATACCTTGCTAGAAAAACTTAATTTAAACGTAAGCATTTTTTTAAAAATATAAACACTTTTGTGGGGAGGTGTGCGCTGGTCACTAGTGGCCTAAAAAAAAAGCCAGGTTTTGTCGTGTCATTCAAGTGAAACCTTTTTTATTCAAGAGTATTTGTCTTTTAAATTCGAAAAAAATGATCAGCGTTACAAATAAGGCAAAAAGTAAACTTGAGGGGGCGTAAGCCCATTACAAAAAAAAATTAATTTTAAAATGCACCTTATTATAAAAGAAATCTTTTTCCGAGTCATCTGTAAAATTTTAGTCAAATACAATTTTTCTACACGGGGTAATATCATGGTTACTAATGAGTCAAAGTACAACTTTCCAAAATTTTCATTGTAATTAGGCTTTAAAAATCGTCGACTTTTATAAAATCTTGTAAACTTCGATTTGTCAAATTGTAGGTCTTCGTTTATTTCTCGTATAATTTTACAGTTTTAAATCAATCCGTAAAGTATATACGCAGTAAAGTCACTGATTTAGGACCCAATACTCCCATTTACGCTTACAACGACCCCACCCCCTCCACGTACGTACGCATTATTTATTACATTATCACCCCTCCGTCTTCTTTCCTAATTTAAAATATTTGATACATCAAAAATAAAATAACCTTCATTTAATTTAAGATTTCTGTTACTCTCGCGTGCTTATTACAAAGGAGGCAAGGGTGGGATAGGAATGAAAAAATGGAGGAGAAGAGGAGGGAAACAAAGTTTGAGGAGAGGGGAAGAGGAGGGAAATAAAGTTTTGAAGTCTAGATTTAATAAACAGACAGTGGAGAGGGATTAGATGAAAGAGGTGGGAATATCTTACAGAACACAAATAAAACAATTTAATTCTAGAGTGGCTTTGGTCAAATACGCGTTTATTAAACAACAGTTTCATTATAATTTGAATAGGATTTAACATACTTGTATAAGTTCTATACCAGTGACGAATCCGGGAATATTTAATGGTGGTGGGGGATAATGTTGAATTATTATTGTATTCTGTATCATATTTGCAGTCCTCCATTTTAAAGGACTTTCAGATTCTGGTGTGTGTGTGACAAATTTTTGAAAAATCAAGATTTACGAGATTTTTTTAATGTCGACGAATTTAAAAAAATCTACAAAATTTAAAGCCTGATTATATTGAAACTTTTTATTCTTATCCATCACTGATAAATATATTTTCTGATTTTTTTTTTGTTAATAAAAAGTAAAAATTAACAAATGGGGAGGAGGGGGCTTAATGAGCTTAGAGTTAGTGAGAAATTTTGCAAAAATTAATAAACGTTCTTAACTAAGCACCTAAGAGTACATAACATACTACTGATATTAAAACTCATGGAATTCAATGAAATTTAAAAAAAAATTAAGTTAGAGAGTTAGAGAGATAGAAAGATAGAAAATTAAGTTTTAGGAGAGATATAGTTTTCCATAAAGTTCGGTTTTCCGAAAACCCTCAACTGTAAAAATGTAATTACATTGTAAAATTTATAAAATTATAAAAGATTTATTGGATAAGGTCCAGATGACTAGAGGTTGAACTGTGAGTGATGCCTATAATTAAACTCGTGACAAATATTTACCATGTTAACTGAAAAACAAAATAAATATGTAAAGAATAAAAAATATAATAATCATGCATAAAAAATTTAGTGAGTAATATAAAATTTGAAACAAAAAATTAATTTTAAAAATTTATCTATATTTTTTTACTTCTTCTAGCGGCAGTCAAATTTTGTATAGGTCTAATTGGTTTTAGTTCAGGTAAGACTCCTTCACCAGTTTCAACATTACGAAAAAACCCAGACAGGCACAATGAATCAGGATTAAAACACAAAGGTATTGTACCTACGGTCCCATTGAAACGGTTTTTTTTCACTTGCATGATCAGATTATCCGTTTTTTGGAGAATTAAAACGTTATCAGCTTCTTGAGTTGCTTTTGCAGTACCAAAAACTGAGGCTGTCTGTAAAATTGAATCATCATTCTCTTTTCTAGGGTGAACAACAATAGTTACATGAATATTTAATTCAGAAGCACATTTTCGAAATAAACTAATGGCTTTGTCTAAGGCTTGAAAACGATCATCATCATTGCTAATTGTGGTCATAAACTGTAAATTGTCAATAATAACATGTTCTATGTCATACATATAAACGCTGTGTTCTATGGTTTGTATAACACTATGAAGATCTTGTGCGCCATAATAACTCATAAAGTACATTGGCAGGTTTTCAAAACATTCATACCATTTTGAAAACTTATCCATATGCTTTTCTAAAGCAATACCAGAATATTGATGAAGCATGATATTTGCAAGCCTAACATTCTTAATTTCAAAACTCCCCCACAGTGTGTTAATGCCTTGCATGCAAAGATCAAGAGATAACTCAGATAAAAAAGTTGTTTTTCCAGACCCGGTGGGGCCAGTAAATATAGTCAACTCACCTCTTCGATGCCCTTTTAAAAAGTCATTTAAAAGTGGAAATCGAGTAAAAGCAACACCTGCATTTTCTTTGGCATGTGTCAACTCGTTAAACAACTCATCTCCAATATCTTTGATAGTTAAAAGACGGTCTATAGTCATACACCAAGATTCCTGTAAAGTCTTTTTCATAAAATCTTTTCCATATTCAAGACAAAATAAAGGACTCTCAACGTTTTTGCCTGTAGTAAAACATCTCAACATATTCAGCTTTTTAGTAAAATGAAGTACATTTTGTCTAGACTGATAATTGTTAGGAAACCAAAAGGTAATACGATCAAATTGCTCTAAAAATGGTAACAGAGATGGGGGAAGGTTTGAAGTAGGTAAGGCTAAACATGGAACACCTGTAGCCCATTTCACTGCAATACAGTCTAACTCATTTGCTGTAAGAACAACTTCTTTTTGACCTGAAGCAATGCATTGCCAACCAAACAAATTTAAATCTTCTCTATTTCCAATAAGTGTTTGCTCTTGATTTTTAAAAAATATTTTCTTAAACCCCATCAGGACAGTTTTGGTGATATCATAATAAGGAAATATTATACCATCCATTTCATATTTTTCACAATTGCAATCATAAGCAACACGAACACCAAAATTATTTAAAATATTTTCATCTATATGGTTTAATTTTAAATACTTCTCTATGTCTTTTAGCACTTCAGAAGTTATAGGAGCAGAATTTTGCCAATAACTGTGTTCTTCAGGAGAACAAGACTGCAAATAAACAGGCTGTTTTTCAGAAATTTTAAAATTTTCATGGCTATTAACATAAGGTGTTTTGTTTTTAAATTCCTTCCATGACATTTCTTTTCCACAACAAGTGCATGTTGTGTTGCCAGTATGCATGTCAACAAATAAATTTAATTCTTCAATTTCATATTCAATGTTGCATTCTTGACATGCTGTTAAATATCCGGTATGTCCTTTTTTAAAAGTTGAACCTGATTGTTTTAACACCTCTTCAATTTCCTGTACAGAAAGCCACTTTTCTTGAGAAGCAGCAGCAGTGTGTATATAACTTTGTGTTCGAACAGTCATGTTATAAGTTTTTAACAAAGTACATTCTGCAAATTTTGATAATGATAAAGTCTTATTGAATCCCTTGAAATATTTATACTTTTTACTACTAGAGTTTAATGGTATATTTTTTGAATCAACTGTTTTTTCACTTTTGAGTGTGTTCTGAAGTGTAGTGGCATTATTATTCCTTCTTGACAATATTTCATTGTTTCTTGGTACGCTTTCGTTGTTAAACTGAGAAGTTACAAAACGAATCCCTGTTCTTCGAACTGCTTGACAAGCACAGGATATGAGTGACTCCATTAACCAACAACCAACCAAAAATATAACAAAACCTTTTTAAAACACAATTGTGATATAAACAACTTTTTATTACCTTTATATAAAAATAGAAACAAATTAAAAATTTGCATAAATGAAATAAAAATCATTAACAAACATAAACATGTATTTACATTTAAACTATTGCGGATTAAGAAATACAGAGTATTAATTAAATATTTCTACTTATATATAAATATAAATAATAATTTCAAGGACATCTGTAATATATTTTTAATTTCAGGAAACAAATAAAAAATTCTAGCAATTTTTATAAACATGAAGCAATATAAAACTTCAGAAACAAGATTCAACTGGATAAAATTTATTTTACATAAGGAGAAAAAATAAAAAGGTTATTTCATAGGAACCTTTTTGCCTAGAGAAATCAGCAATATTTTTAAATACCTCTATGATTTTTAAATCATTCTACATACATCATTCATTTAGTTCACGAATGTACAGATTTTAGTCTAATGTTGTCAAAAGGAAGTTTTTTAAAAACAAATGTTTAAATATATATTTATATATATTATAATATATAATATATTTATATACATATATATATATATATATTTATTATACATATATATATTTATTATTTATATATATATATATATATATATATATATATATATATATATATATATATATATATATATATATATATATATTATATATATATATATATATATATATATATATATATATATATATATTTCATATTTTAATTGCACACAAGCAGACAGAAAAAAATTAAATATATTACTATATCACGATTTTATTGATGCTATTACTTTATACTACTATACTCTTACATTAACGTTATCAACTTTATAACTGAGTTATAAAGTTGATAAGTTCAATGTAAGAGTATAATAGTATAAAGTAATAGCATCAAAGAAAAACAAAGATTGAACAATAATCAATTGGTACTATTTTCCCTTAAAAAAATTTCAGAATAATGTATTGTGTTCTATAATGCTATATTTGTAAAGCATATTAATTGCTTATAATTTTTTTTTTATGTGCCTAAATCAAAGCAAAAGACCTCGGAGCAAAAGACCTCGTGGTTAACTTGCCATCTTTACCGGACTCTTTTTAACTTGAAACCGGGATTTCCTCTACTATTTTAGCTGTATTTTTTTAAAAAATTGTTTTATTTAAAAAAAAAAAACAATTTTTAACATTTATATCTGGAAATGGTTCTACATCAGCTTTTTAACGTTAGAAATAAATACGAATCTAAAAAAAAAACATATTAATTCATAACAAAATGAGTAAGTTAGTATATTTTTTAAAGGTAAATTAGCCCTTTCGTTTACTAATTAAGCAAAATTAAATTGATTTTGTGACGGAATTTTAAAACTTAAGTAAATCTGATTAGCGCCCCTGAAAATCTAACTGTATTTTTTGTTTACAAATTGTGTTATGTAATGTCATTTAGTACTTTTTGACTAATGACGCCCAGGAAAAACCTTGGTGCGCTAGGGTTTTTTTTTATACAATCTAAAATATTCATAAAAGACCGCAACTTAAAATACCAATAGTGTTGTCAGCAAATATATAGCAACTTGGTGGTTAATTTTTACATTAGTTGTAGCTGTTAAGATGATCCTTCCAGCATACTAATAATAGCCGCCTAATGATAGCTATAATACAATGAGTTTTTGAAATGCATTAAGTGTTGTGTTTTTAATTTTAAAATATGAAAACATATTTAGGTTTTAACTAACATTTTTCATTGATTTATACCTTATTTCAAAAGATGCGATTATTGCTAATAACTTAGCAATAGTAGCATCTTGTGCCTTTTAATTTTTAAATAAAAAATACCGATGTTTTAGAAATTATGGCACCGTAAAATATAAAACAAACAATTTTCAATTAAGTTTGTTTTGACTTTTATTGTTAGTTCAGTTTACAAATATAAGTATAAAATAAAATAAGGGGTTATTATTGATTACATATTGATATTCTAATAGTTTTTGCACCACACAAATTTATTAAAATGTCATTATGACTTATAAACAGCCTCCCTAATTTACCTCCATTTTTAAACAATATGCTTTGCTAAATATATTAACTTACTAAAAAAATTATTTAAACATCTCTGAGGAGGGAATGGGGGCGAGGGAACCCCGTTGCGCATCCCCTCCCTCCCCTCATGGATCCGCCGTTGCCACGGTTCGATATCGTTTTCAATGACTCCATTAAACTTTAGATTATTTTTAAGCCTTCAATATTCAAGTTTAGCAAATTTTTTTTTCAATACCCATTTTCACCAAAACCCCCACTTAAATAAACTGCGTCTCAATCAAATTTTGTTAAAATAACGTCGTGAGGTTGTTTTATTTAAATAGCATTTGCGCTCTTTCCGTAGAGTTAAACCACTTCTAAATTTGATGTTAATGAAAAAATATAAAACGTTTTTAAAATACTGCTGTTTTCGGTGTGAACCTGATATAAGATTGCTATAATTTTTGCCATTATGTTTATTTGTTGGGTGAACATTGGTATTTTTACTCTTAAATTCATTTAACTCAAAAAGTTTCTTCCCAAGTAGCAAACAAAATAAATAATATTGCGCTAATATTATTGGATATAAACTTTTGCGGACGTTTGGCGTTTTTTTGCATTTATATGAATATCATGAATTGCGCTAGTATTTTTTGCTACTCAATTTCTTGCTTATAAAACTGAATAACTTCTTATTTTGTTTTTCATATTTTTATTTTCTCCTTAAATATAATAAACTTTTTTCCTCTTTTTTCTTAATTTTGTCATTAATGTTTTATAGTGTGTTTCCTTGAACTTCAAGTAAAAATAAAGACCTAAAAAGTTACAATTTTATTGTCTAGCTTTTTAAATCTATCAAACAGGGGTCGAGGACGAGGAGTGTAGAGAAATTTTTAATAAAAGTGCGGGAAGGAGATTTTTTTATTAAACAGGTGGTTGTACTGGTAATAGGAGGGGGATTTTTTCAGATATTTTGAATTCTAATAAGGGAGGAAAGAACTTCCCTAAACTAAAAGCAGGATTTAAAGGGAATGAACAACTTCTAAAACAGGTTACATAATCAAATTTAAAAGAAAATTATAAACATGATCTATTTATTGTAAACGTCCTCAAAAGCGTTATAGATTGAGTCATTATCATTGGGGTGCTCCTCTTAACTTCCAATCTGACGCCGTGAGAAATATTATGTACTTAGCTGAACCAAAGCTTATTTTTAACCAAACCGAGACTTACAAGTTTTCTTTTATAATTCGGTATTTTTTAAAACCTGAGTTGAAAAAATTTAAAACATTTATAAACATCACCTCCTGTGTATTAAGCACCTGAGAGTTCACTAGCGACCCAATGTAACGCCATCATTATCTTTATGCAGATTTCAATATTTCCAGTAAAAGTATGAAAACAAATCTTTTATTGTTTTTTTAGATTTCCTCTCAGATTAGTTTAATTGTAAAGTTGTTTTTTTTTCTACATGAAAACCACGGTTGAAAGATTTAGTCTTCAAACCAATTGTTGTCCATAACAAACTAAATGCTGTCCATAACAAACTAATTGCTGTCCATAACAAATCAGTTGTTTGTGATAACCAAAGATATTAACAAAAAACCTGCGATATACCTATCTTCAGAATTTTTTTCAACACTTTCAATTTTTGGAAACTAAAACGAAAAATACAGGTAAAAAGACTGGAACTAATATTAAAACTATTGCATTAGTTAGTAAATAATTTAATTACTATTTTCCCGGTCCCTTTAAAATTATATGTTTTCAGTGTTGTTTTGTACATTACCTTCAAGTTGTACATTCAAATTTACAAGTTAATATATAGAAGTTTAAACTGCGTGGTCTCTGTTAGTCAGTTAATAAAAATAGTCTTTTTAATTATAAAAATCTTTATTTTATTATTTTTATCCCATTGGTTCATTTTGGAAAGTTTTAAACCACGCATCTACTTGTTTTTGATGCAAGCATATAAAAAATTTAATTTAATTTTACTTGAATTCTTGTAAATTTTAAAATTTAAAACAAAATTTTATTTTTAGAACTAAAACTTGACTATTTAAATATATTGGCTACTTTGCTTTTTTGCTGCAAGTTTTTAAATTGCATATTTAAAAAAAAAAAAAAGGCTCATATTAGTTAGTTCTCAAAAATGTAAAAATATATGATTGCATATAAAATACTTATTTACTACTATAGCGTGCCGAAATATAAAAGAATGCTAACGGTTGAAATTTTAAACAGAATAACTGATTTAAAAACACTAAAAAAAGACTTGGTATTTTTTCAAAAGATTTCTTTTATTATTTTTTTTTTTTTTCTTTTCATAAAAAGTTTTTCATGATTTAGGACCGCAAAAAATTTTGGTAAGATATATATTATTATTATTATTCATTTTATCATTGATAATAGAAAGTTTAAACAATCAAAATTAATTTTCATAAACAATTATGTTGGGTTAGAATGCTATAACTTTATTATCTTGTCATTACTACCACATTACTACCGTGACAACAAACTCAGCTATTTTCATATAAAAAAACATGAACCAGTAAAAAAACCAGTTTTGTACTTCTTTGAAGAATTTTACAGATAAGTGTAATATATGAAATATATGAACAAAATAAGGGAGATTGCATTAACCTTATTTAAGTAAAAATAGTAATAAAACACGGTAATTTATCATTATTATGATTCATGATGAAGGAGATTTTATGTAAATAAAAATGCGTATAACATATGACTTCTTTAATAGATTTCTTTTATATCCCCCGTTCGTCAATTTAAACTGTTATTATATCAATGTTTGTGGTTTGATGCATACTCTGATCATAAAAACAACTTTGACAGGGAAGAGAGAAAATATTTAATGCTATTTAACAACACAACAAAAAAGTGTTTAATGTTGTCTATTGAAAAGTAAACTGCATTTCATTTTAAAAACCTAACTTTTTTTATCGGATGACTAGGCACCATTTTCAGTAACTAGCATTTATTTCTAATTGTAAAATATCCTCAATGACCCCCTCTATGTGCAACACGGCTAATTAGT